CACCTAAGGACTTAAAAAAAAAAAAAAAAAAAAAGTAAATCTAAAAGTTTTCTAAAAAATAAAGTGTATTTTTTAAAAAGTACATTAAAGAAATGATTTAGTTTTACAGACACACAATTAATTATAAAGACTGTCAAAATTGTTGGCTACATGAGAATAAATCCTAAATTCCTTCAAATGTAGAATAGTCACTTGTAGTGAAAAACTTTGAAAATTCCACAATTCAGCTTCATTAAGTGGTCTATACACTTTTAAATATAATGTTTAACAACGGTTTCCAAACCTACCATTTTTTTCTCCCATCTTTTGGCGTCGTTCATAAACATAAAACTATTCAAAATTAACTTTATCAAAGGACTGAATCACTTTGATTGAAGAATATAACTGGAATCCAACTGGAATTCAGTGTGGTCTCTATGAAATTTGCAGTCCTCAGAGAAAATACATCATTATGCCATTCCAAATCCAATGTTCTTGGATGCTTTAATTTTCAAATAGTAACTTCAGTTGAAGAAACTTTCAAAAATAACCACTAGTCCAACCTGATGATGAGTCCATGCAACTTCATCAAGTGAGTATTTATAGTTATATCAGATCATTGATAATATCTTTTTAAAAATAAAAACCAACTCCATCTTTTGGTCCATGGATGCATGAGACATTCTGTAAAAAAAACAATAAAGATTGGTACATATTTACAAAGAATAAAACATGTAAGAAAAAGAAGACTGTTCTAACAATAGCTCTTTTAAAATAGCATAGACTATTACAGAAACAAGAATACATATTAAATGGAAAAATATGTAAAATATCAAAATTAGGAAATTACAGAGAAGTTAAGAATCACCCATATTTAAAATATTGTTGTCTTTTTTTTAAAGATTTTATTTATTTATTTGACAGAGAGAGACACAGCGAGAGAGGGAACACAAGCAGGGGGAGTGAGAGAGGGAGAAGCAGGGCTCCATTGGAGCAGGGAGCCGGATGCGGGGATCTATCCCAGGACCCCGGGGATCATGACCTGAGCCAAAGGCAGATGCCCAACGACTGAGCCACCCAGGTGCCCCTAAAATATTGTTAATTCACATAAAATATCCCCATTTTATAAATATTTTTTAAGTTTTATTTTTTATAAATACTTTATAAAAACTTTTATAATGGGGATAGTAACGCTAACTACCTCAAATGAATGAAGAAGAGGCAATAATGACCAAGAATTTCTCAAAACTGGAAAACACATAAGCCAACTAAGGGTTCATTGGGTACCAAGCAAGATAAAATACACACTACTAGACAAACTGTGAATAAACTTTAGAACATCAAAAATAAAGACAAAGTCTTAGAAGTTTCCAGAAAATCTAGATTATCTAAAAGAAACACATATCAGACTGGCAATCAGACTTCTCATCAGAAATGCCAGGTGCAATAAGTTAAGGCAAAGTAAGTCTGACCCCAGAATGCCTTTCAGCCAAGCTATCTTTCAATAGTGAAGGTTAAAAAAAGAGACTTTCATAGACATTCAAAAAGCCACTAAGGAATTCTCTGAAAGAAAGTACCCAAACTTCATGAAAAAAACTAACATACACAGAAGTACTGAGGTAAGAAGCAATAATGAGCAAATGACTAAAACACATTAATGCTAAAGATAGATTAAAAATGGGTTTTAATAACAAATGAAAGAAAATGATAGAAAGAACCAGATGGTTGGAAGTCTGCCTTCAGCTCGGGTCATGATCCCAGGGTCCTGGGATCGAGCCCCACATCAGGCTTCTGGCTCACCGGGGAGCCTGCTTCTCCCTCTCCCTCTGCCTCTCCCCCTGCTCATGCTCTCTCTCTTTCTCTGTATCTGATACAGGTCTCAAATGAATAAATAAAATCTTAAAAAAAAAACAAAAACAAACAGGGGAAATTATGTTCTTTTATAGAAGGGGATGGAAGGGGATTATTGCCAAGATAAGAGAAAGTAAAGCAGAAGTACCGTCAAGTTCTTCTTCATAGGGAGGGTATCAATACTAATTAAATTTAAATCTTGTTAGGAAACATATTTAAGAACTATGTTGCAAATGCAAAGGTAGTATATTTTAAAAGACATGTAGAACAAAGAAAACTTGGGGCCAACCTCAATTAAAAAGAGAAATGGAAAAATAGGATATAAAAGATACAAAGAAAAGCATGGAAAATAAGATGACAAGAAAAAGGCCAAACTTAATAATCACAAAAAAGGTGAATGTGTTAATCTAACTTATTAAAGGGCTCTCAAAATGGATTGTAAGCAAAACCTAGCTATATTTTAAAATAAGAGACCCACTTAAATCACACAAAATGTCATCAAAAGGTTGAAATAACAGTATGTGAAAAAAGACATACCAGCAAATACAAGAAATGTTCATATCAAACGAAATAGAATTTAATATGAAAACCAATAGAAGAGACAAAGAGAAATATTTTACAATGACAGAATAATTCACACAAATATCTAATTGAAATTACTGACTTAATATCAAATAGGCTCAAGAAGTAGAAATTCCAATTAGAGGCAAAACTATAAAAATAAAAAGTTTAAACAACAGTTAAAGATCTTAGGAGAGCCACATGCCCCATATCCCCACCTCACTCCTATTATACCAGGTCTATTCAGTTTTATAGATGAATTCTACAGAACTTCCAAGGAACGGATAAATTCTATCATATACGAACTGTTCCAGGTCAGGAAAAATTTGGGAGCCACTCAACTTTTTTTTTTTTTTTTTTAGATTAGTATAACCATGACATGTAAGAAAAGAAACTCAAGGCCAAAAGCACTTCTGTGCAAAAATAGTAAGTAAAATATGCCGTAGAGTAAAAGTATATTACTAAAATAAGATTTATCCTGGGAATACCCCAAAAATTTAATATTGGAAAGTTTATCAACGTAAATTCCTACATTAACATATAAATGGAAAACCAACATTTCAGATGCAGAAAAAAAAACAATTCAATAAAAGTCAGCAACTTTTCTGGAGGCTGGAAGATGAGGGACCCTTAACAAACTAGGAAGAGAACTTCTTTAACCTGATAAACTCTCTACTAAAACTTAGCAGCAAACATCATATCCAATGATGACACATTAGAAGCATTTTCATTAAAGTCAGGCACAGAGATTAGGAGACTTGCCACCACTCTTATTCGGTATTATACTGGAAGTCTTTGAGAAACGCAGTGAAATAAAAAAACACCTAAGGACTTAAAAAAAAAAAAAAAAAAGCAAGATCTATCTGTAGAATAAACAAACAAAAACATTAAATAAAGTTAAAAGCCAAGCAAAGAGCTGAGAGAAAATAGAGCTTGTGAACTTTGGTTGGGGAGGGAGTGGGGCAGGCTCAAAACTCAGTGCAGAGTCGGAAGTGGGGCTCGATCTCATGATCCTGAGATCATGACCTGAGCTGAAATCAAGAGTCAGATGCTTAACTGACTGAGCCACCCAGGCACCCTGACGCTGAAAAATTTTTTATAAAAATTATATAGGATACGCAGTATCCAGGGCACATAAAACTCTAAACCATTAAAAAAAGATGACCCATAGAAAAATGGGTAATTTTTTGAAGAAATTATAGAAATTTACATAAATTATAAGTTAATAAACATATGAATAGATACTGCAACCTTACTAGTAATCAGAGAATGAAAATTTTTTAAAAATGAGTATTAATTTCATCCATCAGATGGACAAAAAGAAGACAGGATCTCATGTTAGTCTAGACTGTAGGAAAATTGAACTCTCTATTTTTGGGATGTTTAAATTAGTAGAAGTATTTTGGAGGCAAATTTGGCAAGACCAATTAAAATTAAGAATGTTCATAACTTTGGGGCACCTGGGTGGCTCAGTCAGTTAAGCAACTGACTCTTGATTTCAGCTCGGGTCATGATCTTAGGGTTGTGAGTTCAAGCTCCTTGTCAGGCTCCCCGCTCAGCAGGGAGTCCTCTGGAGTTTCTCTCTCTCCCTCTGCCTCTCCCGCTAGTGCTATCTAAGTAAATAAATAAATCTTAAAAAAAAAAATAATGTTCATAACTTAAAACCAAGCAATCCCACTTTTAGATAGATATATAGATATAGATATATATCTATATATCCTTGAGAAATAGCACATGTGCACAAGAAAATACATACCAGGATTTCCCTGCAGCATTGTCTATAAGTTGAAAAACTGGGAACAACCAATGTCCATCAAAAAGAGAATGGCAAATAAAATGTGCTATACAGTACCTATCAAACAAAATAGAATTTAATATAAAAACCAATAAAAGAGACAAAAATAAATATTCTACATTAACAGAACAACTCAGCCATACACTGGAACACTATCCAGCAGGTATAAAAAATGAGCCATAAATACATAATAAGCTATAAATAACAGGTATACACTTCAAAAACACTGTCAAATGAATAAAGTTAGAAAATGATATAGTATGATACTATCAACATTTTTTTAAAATTACAAATGCATATATGAACCCATTGAGAATATGTAAGTATAAAAAAAGACTTAAAGGTTCTGCACCAAAGTCTTTAGCATGGGGTTGGAGGAGCAAGGGGGAATTCAGGGACTGTGGATTGTGCTATCCGTAAGGTTCTAATTTTGTAAAAAGAGAACGTAATAGTGTACTTAATTTAAAATTTAAGTATATAATTTTCAAAAAAGGACTGTCCATTTTAAAGGCTTTTGGAGCAGACTGCCAAACTCCTTTCTAGAAAGGTTCTATCAATTCCTATTTCCACCTACAGCACACAAGCATACTAATAGCTTTTTGAAGAAAACTCTCACCAATGTTGTTCATATCTTCTGAAATTTAATAACAGTAAAACATGTTTACTGAAGAAAATTTGCAAAATACAGTAAAGCATAAAGAAGAAAAGTTAAATCACTCATAATATCATCCAGAGACAAACAGTTTAATATTTTGGAGTGAAACAGGGATTTTTAAATTTGTTCTTATTTTCCCCTTCTCACTTTTTCATTTTGGAGAAAAGCAGTCGGTCTGTTTCGCCTCAATTTATGGTTGCTTTGTTTTTAAAAACAAGCTCTTTATGAAACTGACCATTTCTTCTCTATTTCTCATGTTTTAATTACGATGAGAGTAATGAACATTTATTGAGTATAAACCATGTGTCAGGCACACTTCTCAATACTTCACTTATTCTTACTGATCTGCGTAACAATGAGAGAAAATTAGCATGCCTGTTTTTCTGAGGAAGCTAAGGAGCGTCACACTGTAAGTGGCAGTGACAAAAAATAAGGAAGGAACCAGGCAGGATGATTTCAGAGTCCGCTTTTTGATTATTCCACTCTACCTTTTCAAAGTTACCTTTTTGCCTCATACAGAACTCACTGCAGGTTTCCACACGCTGAAGAGCTCAGTTCATTACACACTGTTCCTTATTTTAATTACTTATTGGGTTGTGGTTAATGAGAGTCAGGTGCCTTTAGGATCTAATCTCAATTCCGTGGTCTTGGACAAATGATTTTACTCATTGAGGACTCGTGTTAAGTCTTACCTGTGAAATGGGTCAGTGGTTAAACCTTCCAGTTCTGCTTCTGGATTTTACAATGCAGTCCATTTCCTGCAGCCCCTTTTACAGCCTCAGGTTCCCAGCTGCTTAGGAATCACCTCACATTAAGGTATGCACCCGGAGATAGAAAATGAAATGAGGGTTGAGAACTCAGAACGCCCGCGGTCCCTTCTACAGCCTGGGACTGCAGGTGGATAGAAGGAAAAGAGAGGTTGCAAGGGCTGGGGTCCACGCAGCCGAGGGCTCCGCCGCGTTCCCAGGTCCGGGCCGAAGGAGCTGTCAGCGGGCCACCCAAGGCCGTGCCTCGGCTCCACTAGCACCACAGACCTGAGGGCTGCGCCGGGCCCGCTCCGTTGGCAAGACTGGGTTTCCCCGCGGGTCGGGCTCCTCTCCGACTCCACGCCACCGAGACCCCACGGTCCCAGATGCCCCCAGGCCAGGAAATACTTCACCATTTACTAGACCTCACCTCAGCAACAACTGTCCCGCCTCGCTTCAGGCGGGGAGGGAGGACCGCCCAATCCCTAACGCCCAGGCCTACCTAACGCTAATCCTAAATAGGAGGAGTTGGACACCCAGAGCTCCCACTACTTGGCCGGGAGCCCATTGGTTGGACACCCACTGGGTCCACGCCTCAGAGGCTCCGCGCGCGTATCGCCGGCAGCGCGGCGGCGCCCAATCGCGCCGCCTCCCGATTGGCTATCAGAGCTCTCGGCTTGTCTCGCGCTCTCTGGCGGGGCCAATGGGGATACTCGCAATCGAGAGGCCGGCATCGCAGGAGTGGTGGCGCAGCTGTTTCCTCTGGTAGGTGTTCCGCTGCCATCTTGTGTGTGGCCAGGACTGGGCTTCTTGGCGGTTGAAAGTTTAATTAGTGGCTCCAGGTGTGGAGGGGTCCTGAGAGAGCAGTGGAGGAGAAAAGGGATCTGAGGGCAGACACCTGGTGCCTTTTCACTTACCTGAATTGGAGAGGTTTTCTTGGTCTGAATCAGCCCTGGCTAGAGAGAGTGATGAATGGGGTGGTGGGGGGATCCCAGGCTTTGGTTTGTTCGTCATTGTGGAGGGTTTGCTGGGGGCTCTGATGCTTTAACGCTGATTCCTTTGGTTCCAGAGAGCTACCCCCATAATCTTTGTCTCGGAAGATTGACATCACCCCTCCTAATGAGGTTGTCTGATGGCCTGCCTGATTCAGAAAGGAGTAAGGCTGGTCATTACTAGAAGGGGAGAGGGAGATGCCTCACCACTATCTTCAGGTTAGAAAGAGACGTCTTCATTTTGTGTCGTTTGCGAGGGAGTGACTGCTAAAGTGTTGGCCATTCTCGGTAGTTAACCCTCTAAGGCCATCCTTTGATAATTGTGGGCATCTTGTTCTGCGTTTGGGCAGTTTTATTTATTAATATGCAGCCAGCATTCCTGCAGGGGTTTTTAAAAAATCTAATAAGTGGTGGTCTTTGCAGAAACAGTGGAAGTGAAGGAAGAATTTTGGCAAATTTTGTTTCCCTGGTTACGATCTGTTAAGATTTCGGAATTTCTAGGTCTGCCTTGACTTGCCTGGTTGCTTCGTCAGGGGCAGGGGGAGGCGTTTGTAAGGGAAAGTATCTTCTGAACTCTTTTTGAGGTGGGAGAAAGAAAGGAATTATCTCCTTTTCCTTCTCAGTTTTTGTTTTGACTCGAAGTAGACTGCACGCATTCTTTCATTTGGGAGGAAAATTTATCGGATCTGAAAACCTAGACGATAAAAGGCTAATATTTTGTGATTGGCGGTTTTGACACGCATTAGACGAAAGCAAAAATACTTGTTTTGAGTTCAGTTTTCAGTTAGTTATCTAATGATGACTCAACCTAGTCAAGAGTACCATGTGTTTTGTGGCAGGAATGTCAAAGAAACAGCAGTAATCGAATGATTAAAATTTAATTTTCCTTTTAAAATTTGCTTCTTAAATCATGAGTCTTATAAGGCCTAGGTTGCAAGAGTTCAAGTATCAATAATTTAGTGTTTAGTTGATGGCTAAGGTACATGTGGCTATCATAAAGTAAGAGATCAGTGGCTAGAAATAAAGAGAACATAATAGCAGCTCAGTAAATGTTCGCTGAAACTTTTGCATAGCGTTCTCATGTGATAATGCCTGGCATATGTTCAGAAGTATAATTGTTGAATGAATAAATAATGCAGTAATTGGAAGATGTGGATACACATTTCTTTTTCGACTAACTGAAAAAATTTATTTAACCTGCTTTCTAGAAAACTTGACTTTAATTTTCTTGAACTAAATGTATTGCTTCCAATTTATACATACAAATATTATGGATAGGCTCATAATCCTTTTTTGTGAAGTCTTTTTATGAAATCGGAATACAGAGAAATTTAGATAATGAAGGTGAGCCCTCAAGTCATTTTTTCTTGAAAGCATACAGTTTCAGTAAATGAGTACCAAACTTGTCAGTGCCTTAGATCTCTCCTGAAGAAAAAATGTATTGTTTTTCTAGTTTAACACTGCTTAAAGTCAAAATACTGTAAGTTTAGTATATTGCATAAATATGTTCTGTAATTTTAAGTAATTTTAAAATAAGCTAGGTAAGTATGAGATTTTTCTTTGAAGAATACTAGTCTCTAGATTTCATAATGTATAATCTGAAGATCCTTACAGATATTTTTAAATATTACTTTTGCATGAACAATGTTAAGTGACTTTAAGTAAAAATGATTTAACTTAGGGGCACCTGGGTGGCTCAG